GCCTGAATCGAACCTGGGACCTTTCAGTCCGCAGGCCGGAGCTCTCTCCACTGAGCCAAACCGGTTAGGCGCCGTGTTCGGCAAACTGTGGCTCACGAGCCACATGCGGCCCTTTGGCCGCTGCTCTTCCACAAAATACCACGTGTGGGTGCGCATGTATAGTGAGATTGAAACTTCATGGCCCATGTGCAGAAGTTGGTATTTTGTGGAAGAGCCACACTCAAGGGGCCAAAGAGCTGCCTGTGGCTCGCAAGCCGCAGTTTGCCGACCACTGGGTTAGGGCAAGATGTGGTACTCTTGCCACTCTATATACTGTAGTCTGGCAAGTTCTTTCAAACAGAAAACTAGGGTGGTCACAGGGCTCATCTTATTTGTTTTCCTTCTTAAAAATCCTTTTCCGGGATCACAATCCTGCACTGAATGTTATCCATTGTCTAAAACCAGTTGTTTCATGTAACTTATCCAGATTTCTAGTTTTGTATGGTAAAAGGGAGAGTTCTATACACTATTATAAGTCAAAGTATGAATTTTAAATCCAGGATTTCTTCTTTCATTTCAACCACTTAAGTTTTTAATTTCCAAATATAAAATAAAATGAAGTCAGCTTTGGGCTGGAATTAATAATTTGGGTTCAGGTTTCGCGCCTACTTCTAACTTGCTGCATGAATATTGGTAAATCCCATTTCTTCTTTGACTTTTACAGCCAAATTAAATTGAATATAATCCTATTCTCACTAGTTCTCAGGCATTCCATAGCAAGCAAATAGAAATAAAAAACCACACTAAATAAGAATGAGGTTATAAAAGCTGACACTTCCAAAACCTCTTTGGTCCATCTTCCAATTCATACTTTTTTGTAAAGTATAAAGGGGCCTGAAATGAAAGTATGGTAAGACTGATGCTGTTTCATTGCCTTTCCTCCTACTGAGTGCCAGGAACTGTGTAAGACTTACGTGAATTAACTCACCAAATCCTCATCACTGTCCAATGGGATAGGTAATGTTATTTGACCCCATTTCTCACATGAAAATGAGACACAGAGATTAAGCAACTTGCATAGGGGTCATATAGCTAAGTGGCAGAGGCAGAATTGGAATTGATTTGAACCCAAGCTGTGTGACTCAGGAGCCACGCTCTTAACCACTGTGTGACTATTTGAAAACTTGAAATGCATCAATTGCTGCTGATGGAGAATCATTGTTTGTAACTGTTAAATTCATCCTCGGAATCCCTTCAACAAACCTTGTTTGTTTAGTCAGCCTAATTTCCATGAGGAAGCAGAAAGATTGGGCTATAGTTGGAATATGTGATTCCTGAGAAAAACACACCATCAGTATTGCAGGAAATGATGGAAGATGATATACAGCAAAAACTACCTGGGAAATGGGATCTGAGGGGAGTCCAAAGGATCCATTGGGCGGGGAGGGGTCACTGGCGTTTACTGAATTTCTCCTGACTGGCAACTGTTTTGATATTAATAATTTCTATTCTTTTTCTCCTAATTTTCAGACACATTTAATCAAGTCAAGCACCAAAATGCTACCACTCTTGCCTAGAGAGAGAACGGCTACTCAAAGAACTCCACCTGCAGGCGTTCGGCAGACCAGCATTGCTTCCTTCTTCACCCTGCAGTCAGGTATGGTGACCTGCCTGGAAGCACTCAGGGAGCAAAAAGGAGTGCATTCAGTTTTTCATGCTGGAACATTTATAAGTGACACCAGTGCATAGCTCACCTATTAGAAGAGGTTATAAAACAAAATCATTGCCTTCTGAAAAGCAATATATACATGCTTTTTACAAACATATTTTTCTGGTTCTCTTTTGCTCAGTCTAATATTAAGTATTTGTATTCCCTGTCAGAGCAGTAAGGACAGGTATTCTTGGGAGTTGAGGGTATATAGGGGAGCTGACCTTTAGTTAGGGGTATGTCTTGGATTGGCCACAAGTAGTCTGCATGATTAATTGATAATTGATATTTTTGTATGAAGCGTCTCAAATTAGCCAAGGTTCAACAATGTTTTTTTCTTAGAAAGGTTTGCATAAAGTTGGCTTGTGTCTCAACATCCTTTGACGGTTCTTTGCCTGCATGTCCCACTTCAGGGGACCAGCTGACTCAGAGCAGGCTGGGACTTACCGAGCAAGGTTCCTGCCAGGTGAAAGGAGAGCTCTAACTCTTGGTGCGGTACCCAGGATTGCTTTGCATAAATCTTCAAAATGCACTCTCCCTACCCCAAACAAAATAGGCTCCCCCCCTTTTTTTTTCTTTCCCCCAAAACACTTTCCATTTCAAATTGTAAAATTCTGGTATATTCTGTTTATATAGAATTTTTAGGCAAAATAGACAAATCTTTCACAAAACAATTTCTGCAGTGTGATAAACTTCACATATGAAAACTCAGCTGGAAAAGTGGTCTGATTATGTCATGTTTGACTTTATTGTGGAGCTCATGGGAAGCCTCTATATATTTGAGTAGGGGGGATATATAAGCTTTGTGTTTTAGAAAGATCATTCAGGCAAGATTAGAGATTGAAAGCTGGAAGCTCAGCCACAAGGGATGTGAAGAGTCTAAAACCCCTGCACAAGGTAGTTATAATAGCTGATACTGATTTCAGAAAGAACCAGCTAAATCCTGCTCAGGGCAGAGTTTTCCTGCAGAATAATACGTGTTCATGTCTGTTTCACTAGGAAAGAAAAACGGTGATCAGAGGAATGTTTCATCACATATAGAAAGTCAGACCAACAGAGAGTCTAAGAAAGATGCGACCCAGCTAGAGCATCTGACCCAGGGCTTGGGCGATGATTGCGTGGCACCCCCTTTAGCCTCTTCAACCCCTACAGACATCCAGGAAGCTGGACTTTCTCCTCAGTCCCTCCAGGCTTCTGGCCACCACAGACTGGGAACCCCATTCTTGACTGTGCTGTCTTTGTTCCAGCCTGAGACTAACTTAGTCTGTGCTGGAGAGAATCAAGACTCACTGGCTTGTTCCTTCACCCAGGACGTGGAAAGTTCTTGCTTGCTGGACCAAAAGGAGGGAGAGAAGGATTCTTCCTGGAAAAGGGAATGGCTTCATGGATCTAAGAAAAAGAACCGCCAGGGTATGGAGAGATGCAGTAAACCACCTGGGGGCAAGGGTCGACAGCCCTGGGACAAGTCTAAATTGGAAAAGGTGTCTGCCAAAGAAAACAGGCAGGCTCCTGTCCTCTTTCAAACTTACAGGGAGTCCTGGAGTGGAGAAAACACAGAGGCAGTGAAACAAAGGTCTTGTCCTGTTCCTGTGGTCTCCTGGGACAGTGAGAAGGATGACAGGGACTCCTGGAGTCAGCTTTTCACTGAGGATTCTCAGGGCCAGCGGGTCATTGCTCACAACTCCAGAGTTCCTTTCCGAGAGGTAACGAACAGTTGGAATCAGGGTTTAGGGCAGTTTCCTAGCAGCCCTGGAGCTCAGTGCCAGGATAGGCTCACTCAGTTAAACCTGCAGCCTGATTTGCTCTTTACCCAGGACTCTGAAGGTAACCAAGTTATCAGACACCAAGTCTAAACATCTTTGAGGGTTTGGTTTTAAAAATACTTGGGGAGGTATGGAATGAAGCTATTGTTGTTGAACATTTTGTGTAAATAAAGCCGGTTGTGATACTTGTTGAGACAGTATGGTTGGCATCATGCCTTTCCCTGAAGAACAGGTGGCTAGTAAATTCCTTGTATGAATTCAGTGAGCACTGAGGAGGCAAGGGAGGTATTCATCTCTCCACTAAAGGACCTATTACTCAAGCAGCTCTTTGCTCTTTCAGATGCCTAACTGGGACATTGCTTCTTCTTCTTCTTTAAATATATATTTTATTGATTTTTTTATAGAGAGGAAGAGGGATAGAGAGTTAGAAACATCAATGAGAGAGACGCATCGATCAGCTGCTTCCTGCACACCTCCTACTGGAGATGTGCCCACAACCAAGGTACATGCACTTGACCAGAATTGAACCTGTGACCTTTCAGTCTGCAGGCCAGTGCTCTATCCATTGAGCCAAACCGCTTAGGGCTGGGACATTGCTTCTTAGAGATGTGTATACTTTTAATCTCTGGTTGTAATCATACTTACTCAACCTAAGCTTGGGACCACTAATTCCTAACACTTTTGAGTGGTAAACAGGAGCAGGGGGATAGAGAGATAGGTAGAAGGTAGAATTGTAGCAGTATTATTGTTATTTTATTCTTGTGGTGACTTTACAGCATTTTAAAGTTATAGCCTCTGTTTAAATAGCTATTCCTTAAAATTCCTGAGCTATATAGCAATCTAGATGTGACTGTAACACTCCTCTATTACAAAGTGGGTGAGAACTCCCTTTGTAAAACTGAGTCCAAATAAATGACTGTTTACCAAGCGGCTCTTGTAATTAAAACATTACCAGTTTTATTTTTGAAAAAGCAACCTTTTAAAAAAATATTATTTTTATTGATCTCAGAGAGGAAGGGAGAGAGAGATAGAAACATCAATGATGAGAGAGAATCATTGATTGGCTGCCTCCTACACACCCCCTACTGGGGATTGAGCCCGAAATATCAGCATGTGCCCTTGGCCGGAATCGAACCTGGGACCCTTCGGTTCGCAGGCTAAAGCTCTATTCACTGAGCCAAACCAGTTAGGGCGAAAAGCAACTTTTTAATATTAGATGCTGTCACTGCAGTAGGTCCGATCTGAACAGGAGTCTAATTTGACCTTTGTTCTATCCAAGACTTTATCCATCAGGTAGCAGTTTTCTGTAATGCGGTATAGTACCTAAAAGGCTCCTAGGGGGCAAGCTTGCAAGTTATAAGATGGAACCACTTTAAGAGCTTAGGACAAAATCTCTCCATTTTTTTTTTTAAATAAAAAGCAGGACTTTATAAAAGAAAAAGGGGTACGTCAGGAGCCTATTATGAAAGTTCATATACTACAAAATTAACAGGAATCCTATACCCATTGGGTACATCAGGTGATTGTAACTCAGAGATGGACACAGCAAATGCAGTATCTTGCCAAATCCTTTAATGTCAGGTAGTACTTCAACCCAAATACACACGGGATACATACTGCAGAGAAAGGGACCTGAGGGCATCTGAGTCATGCATGGTGTGGATACAAACCGTGGTCCAATGCCAAGAAGCAGTCAAGGGCCTCAAAGAAAGATGGTATTCTCTTTCCCCTCCCCATTTCTGTTTCCTACTGGGCTTGAACTAAAGTCCATGGAAGAGCAGGAGTTCAGTCAATGGGGCCGTGGAGGGTATATTTGGTTGTACAGTATTACAAAATATATTTAAGAAAAAAACAGCCCAGGCCTCCCAGAAGCAGCCCAAATGTCAGCTGGTCCAGAGGGCCGACCTCTACATCTAGGTGTTAGACATGGGAAGAGAGTGATTGCTGGGCATTGGTGTTGGTTTGTGATGGCGCAGCATAAGATTTTTCCTGCCCTGTGAACATGTACATAAACACTGAGAGCTCTCACTCTTATCAGCTTTCTTGCAGCAGAAAGTGACAGCTGGGCACAAAGTGTCCGGTAAGACCAGTTATAGGGTCTTATGCAGTGAAGTAAGTCATTCAGGACCTATTTTCACACAGGGGCAAGGAAAAACCAGAAACTTCTAGCTCAGCCTTTAGACCAAAACATTCCAATCTATACATTTACCTGTAACAAGTCTCTCAGCTCACAACAGGCCTTAGCTTCTGCTAAGGTTTGAAGTATGGGAAACATATAATCCAGCTCTTTCAGTCCAAGCTCTAGCTTTCGGCAAGACTGTTGCAAAAAACCTCTGATGGAGAGAGAAACATCGGCGGTGAGGAAGGCAGCTACTGAAGGAATTCCAGGAGCAGGAAACTGAGTGTGCAGAGCTGAGTGCTGTCAGTTTCCTTTTCTACTGAAATCTTCTTCCTTCAGAGCAAACTTCCTTCTTAGGACCTCAGAGATAAGGACAGCAGGGTCCTCCTCCTTCAGTAAACTCCGGTTCCTAGAGACATAATAATAGCTTAATTATTAATAATTTAATAATTTGAGCACTTGCTCTGTCTTGGGCAGTGTTCCATGTCTTTGAATATGATCTCATTTAATTCTCAACAATCTTACGAGGTTAGGTGCTATTACAATCTCTTTTACAAATGAGGAAACTGAAGCACAGAAAGGTTATACAATTTCCCCAAAGCTACTACGTCAGTCAGTGGTGAATCCAGAGTCCAAAAGCAAGCTAGCTGATTATAAATCTCATTTCTTAACTAGAATGCTTTACTATTTCCTGAGACGGCTATAAAATGTGGACAAAGGACCATCAACTAGTTAGAATTGGCTGTGATGGCCAAGCTTCTGCTCCCACCTTTGGTGCTATATTTTCTTAGTAACATTTCCCCAGATCAGCAGATGAAGTGACATATCTCTTGTCCATTTTGACCTTTATTAGTTCCAGGGAAATGGTGTTCAAAAAGTTTCCTACTATTCTGTCTCCCCAGCAAGGGATCTGTGAGCTTTTTAAAATGAGATCTAGAATTTATAGTAAAATGTTCACATAAGGGACCTGTGGGAACAAAACCCACTCCAAATTGGCGTAGGTTCAAATTACCTGACATATCTTAAAAGTATGTCCTGGGAAATAGTTGCTTGAAATCCTAATGGACTTATATCCATACACATACATCCTCATGAAGTTTTGCTAGATATAAGGGTCAAGATTGATTATTAAACCTTGAAAGCAAAAACAAGAGTAATTGCCTTCAGTCTGTCACATTTCTGCCCCTTTGTTAGTGGGGCTACTTTCCCACTCTTTGTCATTAACCCATCTCCTCCGATGAACAAGGGACAAAAGATCCCAGGACACAGTGGGAAGAGGGGCTTGGATCTAATATGGGGCAAGAAGCAAGTAAAAAAGTTTGGGAGCCAGTGACCAGAAGAGAAGGACTCAGGCAGCTCCAGAGCAGCAGCTGAATTTGGGAATGCAGGAGACCGAAGAACTGTGGGTATGACCAAGACCAACCTGGCTAGGGCCAGAGAAGGAAGGTGAAAGTGACTTCCCTAAAGGATCCACTACCAGGAAACAATGAGGGAGTCACAGCCTTGTCTTTTTTTTTGTTGTTTTTTTTTTAAAATATATTTTATTTGTTACAGAGAGGAAGGGAGAGGAATAGAGTTAGAAACATCGATGAGAGAGAAACATTGATCAGCTGCTTCCTGCACATCCCCCACTGGGGATGTGCCCACAACCAAGGTACATGCCCTTGACCGGAATCGAACCTGGGACCCTTCAGTCCACAGGCCGACGCTCTATCCATTGAGCCAAACCAGCTAGGGCCTTGTCTGGTTTTCAGACAGAAATGGCCAGACACACAAAGGGGTCCTTGCACAAGGTGAGTAACCTTCCCTTCAACAGGGAACTTGGGAGAGAGCCCTCTTCTCTCACAAGAGCTTTTAATCTACATGAACAAATACAGCTTCACATCCTGGCCTTCGAAGTCTGGATGTCAAACTTAACTGTTTTAAAACCCAGAAAGCTGCAAATAAGCTCCTTCGGTGTGTCCCATGCAGGTGCTCAGACCCCACTGAACACTGCAAGGTGGTCACCCCTCCAATATGAGCATTCTGATGGGCAGCCAGGTTTAGAAACTTCTCAAGAATTTTTTAGAAACCTCCAGTCTCTGAAATTGCAGGGTTAGTTTGCATAACACCACTATTTCAAAGCAGAAACTCCCAACCTGATGAAATTCTTCCACCAATTTGAGATACTAAAGTAATTATTAGGCAACCCAACTTTGAAGGGTGGGACATGGGGACACTTATTAGCAGTATGGTAATGGTAAAGTCCCTGGGACAGAAGTGGGATTAGATGAACCCTGTAAAATTCCACTAGTCTAACATTTGGTTGGGTTAGATCACCCCAACAAATGTCAAGTGTTACTCCTCAAACTGGGGCCCCAGGCATTAGCAAGCAGGTGGCAAGGTTTGTGAATGAAGTTAACACATGGCAACTACTGAGGACTTGCTATGTAAGTACCCTTTATTAGATCATTGGCCACAGGTAACTAAAATAGTAAATAGATCACCAGAGCTCATTATCAAATACTTACAGATCTTGACTCTGTTTCATCCGGTGAAAGTCCTTCAGGATCCCCATCATATCTGCAAAGCTGCTGGCCTTGGACAGAGAGACACAGTCATCCTCTTCAGATGAGCTGCAGGTAGCTTTGTGTTCTGGTTTGCAACATTCAGGGCTGGCAGAACAAAGCAGGGGGACTGATGGAAGCTCGGGGACCTCTACCTCGGTCTCCTCAGTGATGTCACTAATGACAAAGGAAGTTGTAGAGTGGAATGAGGATCCAAAACAAGGTAAGGGAGAAGAGACATTTGAACTTCCTGGAGATAAGAAATCTGGCGTTAATGAAGCCGAAGCTGAAAGAGAAAACAATAGGCATGGGTGGACATTGGGGCTAGAGTACAGCAGTAATATCTTCTGCTCACAAGCACTGCCTACCATTCCTTCATTTCCTGGGCTGATATCCCAGAAGAGCCCAGGGTGGATTCTGTAAGCCGGAGGAAGGCTCCTCCACTATGCTTCCCTCTCAGGATTTCAAGATGTAGAAGCAGGGCTCCTCCAGGTTCCAGCAGAGCACAGCACCTCCCGCCTCACCCCATAAAACCTTGGCTCCTAAAAGCTCCCATTCTGCAGTGAGCTCTGGAGTAACAGCCTGTTTAGACTGAAACAACGACAGGACCAAGGCCTGAATTTGTTTCTTTCTCTAACTGGGCTAGTGCTTTGACTACCCTCTTTAAATGCTGTCTGTGGCTGGAAGAAGCGTTCTGTAGCAATAGAATGGTGACCCTCTTCCTAGTTCCCCAAATTTTAACGAATTTCCTCAATTTTTAAGAAATACTCGTTTTTCATAAACTACTTTAGCTTGTCTCTTAGCTGCCAATAAATGCAATTCCTCTATAAAAAACAACAAACCATTTCAAAAAGAACACTAATTTTCATGTTCTACCACCTGGTAAGCTTTAGGAACTGACTGAGCTCAACTAGGAGGGGGGGAAAAAAAGGAATATGGGGATGAATAAACCCTGAGCTGCTTGGGAGAGATACCTATTGGTATTTCATGTCACCCAGTAAAGGCAGACTCCCATCCTTTTCCATTGTTCTGCCTAAGCCACAGACAGAAAAGTGGAGGGATGGAGAGGTGGTCTCTGGTAGACAGGACAAGGGAAGAGAAGACAGGTGCTCAAAGGGGATGCTTATTTCTTATATGGAAAAGGAAAGCTGCTGAGGGCTCATGGAAGACACGATCTTAGAGACACTTGGCAGAGGGTGTTGGTTTTGGGGCCACGGGAGAGAACCTGCTCGGGGTCACAGGCTAAGTGAAGATCTTGTTCCTGACCAAGCTAGTCAAGCTCAAAATAACTGACAGAAACCATCCAAGAAGTACTATAGACTAACCAGGCCTCAGAGCAACCGAGTCCTGGGTCCAAGTCCAGGGACCCTCATTTTCTTTACCACTATCCTGTCCAAGAGCCAGGGGAAAAGGAGCAGCCTGCTATATTCTGGCCCTGACTCAGAGCCTCCCACCTGTATCCGCTGCCACTATCTTAGCAATCTGGCTGCGCAGGTGGCTCAGCTCATCCTGCAGCTCTGTGGTGCGGCTCAGGGCCGGCAGGGCTGGCTTCTTCAAGGCCAGGAGCCTCTCCTCGGACCCACGCAGGTTGGGCACTGAGGCATTGCGCTGCATGACAATCAGAGGGCTGGGCTTCCAAGTGTGCCTCAGGGGGCGTGTATCACTCCTGGACCAGGGAAAGACAGGTATATCAGAGTCAGCTAGCTGGCCACTAGCCCCTTCTAAAATTCCTTCACCCACCCCAGTGGTTCTCAACCTTCCTAATGCCGCAACCCTTTAATACAGTTCCTCATGTTGTGACCCCCAACCATAAAATAATTTTCGTGGCTACTTCATAACTGTAATGTTGCTACTGTTATGAATCATAATGTAAATATCTGATATGCAGGATGTATTTTCATTGTTACAAATTGAACATAATTAAAGCATAGTGATTAATCACAAAAACAATATGTAATTATGTATGTGTTTTCCGATGGTCTTAGGCGACCCCTGTGAAAGGGTCGCAACCCACAGGTTGAGAACCGCTGACCCACCCCTACAAGATTAACAGCCAGGTTCTGCTTCCATTCTGAGCCCAGAGATCTTATTCTATTGCCCTCTGCCTCTCACAAGCCCTCTCCCTGCTGCCTGCCTCACCAGGGAAGGAGCTCCCCATTCCCCAGTGGTCTGGCCATTGCCTCGCCTACCTGACCCGGGCGTATGTCTCCTCTTCATCTGCAGCAATCCAGGCGATATCAGCCAGAGTAGGGACTGGGGGCACATCCCTCAGACACAGATCAGAGACATTGGGCAGGGTCTATAGGGAAGCAAAATTCACCAAAAAACACATGATGAGACAATTAATCTGGGCACCATACATAGGAGGGCACCTAGTTCAGCACTGGGGTGTCAGAAAGGCTTCTTGGACCCCATCCATGCCTACTGTTTTCTCTTTCAGAGGGTTCCAGGTTGGAAACAGCTCAAATAAGCAGCCAGAAGCGAGTTTGTGGGATTACAAATAGTTTTGCATGGCTAAAACAGAGGATGGGGGTGAGGAGGTTGTAAGAGGTTGGACAAATTAGGAACTTTGATTCTAAGATCAATAATAAGCCACTGGAAGTTTTAAGTAAGGATTCGATTTTAGGCTTTAAAAGATTACTCTGCTGCTGTGTGGAACACGGATGGGAGGGTGAACAGACCAGTTATGAGGCTGTTGTATCCAAGCAAAACAGGTGGCCTAGAGGAGGGATGGGCTCTGTTTTAATAAAGTTTTACTTGAAAAACAGTCTCACCAATTTCTGTGTGTGTGTGTGTGTTTAAGAATATGTTTTTGATTTTAGAGAGGAAGGGAGAGAGAGAAGCATTGATGAGAAACATTGATTGGCTACCTCCTACATGCCTCCTACTGGGAATTGAGCCTGCAACCTGGGCATGTGCCCTGACCTGGGATCCAACCAGCGACCTCTTGGTGGTTGGGATGATGCTCAACCAACTGAGCACACTAGTCAGGACTCACTGATTTATGTATTGTCTGTGATGGCTTTTAAGTTGTAACTGCAAAAGTGAGTAGTTGTAACACTGTTATAGCCCACAGCCTAAATGTTTATAATCTTGTCTTTTACAGGAAAGGGGGTCTTCAGTGGAACAGGCCAATTACCTTTTAACAGAAAGGGCTATTGCCTACCAGTGTCTTGCCCTCTGGTTGTGAAAATACAGGTACAAGGATATCAATAATCTCAGGATTACTGGATTATTGATATCAACAGGAAGTTTTAACAGGAAGTTTCCTCTGGCTAGCTCTTGACCACACCTTTGTAGCTAATTGGGATTTACACTGTTATAGCAACACTGTTTTATTTATTTTTTAACATTTAAAAAATATTTTTTTTATTGATTTTAGAGAGGAAGATAGAGACAGCAACATCAATGATGAGAGGGAATCATCTCGTTGGCTGTCTCCTACACACCCACACTGGGGACCAAGCCCGCAACCCAGGCATGTGCCCTTGACCGGAATCAAACCTGGGACCCTTGAGTCCACTGAGCCAAACAGGCTAGGGTGTGACATTGTTTTAAGCCAACTTGGTAATTTGAACATTTAGACTTGAATAAAAAGACACAATTATATAAAAGGAATTTAGTAGGATTCCTTAAAATAACCTCTCAACCCAAATGAACAACAACTGAGGAACTGAGTCTGAGTGACACTTGTTAAAATTAAATGAAAAAATTAGTATTCAATCATGTTGAGTATGAAAACAAAAAACAGAAACATACATCTAGAAAAAGGACTATACCAAAACAATAGTTACTGTCATGACTATGTTATTAGAGGTAATTTATTTTCCTTTCTCCTTTTTCTTCTTAATCCTCACCCTAGGATATGTTTAGTGATTTGAGAGAGAGAGAGATCTGTTGCCTCCTGTATGTGCCCCAACCTGGGATTGAACCTGCAAACTTTTTGGCATACTAGTTGATACTCCAAGCGAGCCACCCCCTCTGGGCTCTTTCCTCTTTATTTTCCATAACTTAATGTTTTTATGTGGGTAAATTTTAAAAAAATAAAGATTTCCTTAAATAATATTTTAGAGTAATTTACAACAGAAATTCAGGGGTAATTTCTCAAAAAGCCACCTATACATAAGTTAAATTCAGCTGTTCCTGCTACCAATTGTTTGGTAGGTGGATCAGGAATCGATGGCTCTCACTTTTAGATAGGGATCCTGGGTCTCACAGGATCTCTCCTGGATCTTCCACTGACTCAGGAGCTGCTGCTAAGGTGGGCCATTTAGAGAAGCTTTCCTTGATTAAAGCAGCGCTCTACTACTGGCAATTAAATGAGAACATAAAGTAGTGGGCACAATGCCTTAGCATACAGCATGTGTTCAGTAAAGGTTAGCTGGTATTACTGATACAAGCACACCTTGCTTTATTGAGCCTCACAGATACTGCATTTTTACAATTGAGGGAAAGACCATGGGTGAAAAAGATTACAACTTGCTTTATTGTGGTGATCTGGAAGCAAACCTGAAAACACCTCTGAGGTATGCTTGTACTAGTTAACATACTCCCCCTACCTTGTGGAAACCTGTGCCCTTGCTTAGCTCTGTCAGGCAACATTTGGCCAAAGGACTGAGGAGATTATAACCAAGTGTCGGAGCATCCTCCACCAAGTCCCCCATACTCCCTAGCTGTGCTCCCCTTGTTTCTGATACTTGAAAGGACGCCCGGGGACATGGCTTCAGGGGCAGTTAGGGCCACATCCCGCTCGTGCCCTTTAGGCAATTCTGGATAATCTGGGCTATGGGATGGTCCCCCTCCATCCCGTAACACACTCCTAACCCCATTCCTGACTCTAATACCAATCCTGACACTACTTCTGACTCCAGCTCCAACACAGACTTCACAGGTCAACATCTAATATATAAATTCATCTCCTTCATTTCTGTAACCACTGGGCCCATGTATCCCATATGTCTTCTCAGGCTTATATTTCTGCCTCTTCTGTGTAGGCAGAAAGTTGAAGTTATTCTTTTGTGGCCCAGTTTCCCAGATACACACACCTTAAGTAAGTAGCCTGAAGCTGGTGCTTAGCCATTAGTTCTTAGAGGGAGGCAGCTGGGACTAATAAATGCTACTTGGTTTTCCATTGCAGAAGGGGGTTTCAGCGACACTGGCCACGCAAGAATCTTTACTGCAGAGTGGGTGCTAGAGGGAGGCCCACAGACCCAGAGGTAAGACTGAAGTAGCCTAGTAAAGGAGAGGCCAGACTTGCCCAGAAAGAAGAGGCTGGGCCTCAGTGAAACCAGAAATAGATGGCTAAGTGGCCAAGTCTCAGGGCTAGTAAAGAAAAGCAGAGTTCAACGCAGTCACAACACAGTACTCAGTGTCCCACGTGGGGATCTGCCAGGGTTGTGGGCAAACACCTCAGAGCACAGACCTGGCTAGTGTGGCGATGTGGTTCAGCCGAGGCCTTTGGCCTGTTCTGAGAAACGACTGCTAGAGTCTGATGAAATCTGAGCCACTTAACAGAGTGATCAAACATATAAGATATGAATTTATGAGCAAATTGGGAACCTGACTGTTGTGGCCAAAGGTTTGTGTGCCATCAGGAAGGCACAATGATCAGGATCCATTAATAAACATATACAAAATGAAAACAACAACAAAAAACCAGGAGACTGGGGCACAGAGCAGCACCATCCTTCCATACTCTAAGCCTCTAGTCTCCCGGCCCTTCCAGTGCACTCACCTCAAAGGACGCCCGGGGACATGGCTTCAGGGGCAGGTTGGTCCCAATTCTTCTCACTACACTGCGAGCAGCCCCATGCGGTTTATTTTGCCAGATCGGGATGGTCTAGAGCAGAGAGGGACAGTCACAACCTCAGAGATGAGTTCAAGCATCGTCCCCGTCCTCTCCCCCACTCCCCTTTACCAGGGAGCCTGGACTCCTCAATCCCAGGGAGAGACCCTGTGGGCAGAAGTCAAGTCTCAACTGTAAGTGAGGGCAGGATTCCCCGTTGTTAGCCTTCACCTTGGCAAGCCACCTAAGGGATACCTGCTGCTGCCAAGGCACAGTCCCTGTTGGGAGGGTCCAGTAAAGGCCTGAGGAATTAGCTGGGTGTAGGATCATCCAGGCTTCCCTCCTTTCCTCTGTACAGAAAGGCAAAGAGATACATGGACCCTTTAACTGCCCCCAGGTCACAGCTGGTTCTGCCAACTGGGGGAGTGGGTGGGAGGGTGGCCGCCTTCCAGCTCCAGGCCTCCAGGGGAAAGCAATCACCTGGGAGTCTCCACCTCCCAACAGGCCCCGTGCTCCGCCTTCCCCACACACCACAGCCCCGGGCTGCCCCTTACCGCATTGGCTTCCATTCCCGACATTTCAACTGGCTCCTGCACTTGAAGGACAGGGCAGCTTGGGGAGGCGTGATTCCTTCATATCAGGCCATCTTGCGGAGCACGAGTTCCCTTCCTGTGAAACAGCCCTCAGTGAGGACGTGATGGTCCCCACACAAGCCCCACAGAACCTGCAGAGCAGTGACTAACACCAAGGCTTCTCTTACATTTCTTGGGGGAGAAAACCAGCTCAAGAGACTGCCCTCGCCCACTAATGGCTCGTCCAAATCCAGACCCTTCAAGGTTCTGTTTCAGACTTGTTGCATGAGCTTGAGCAACCCTGGAAGCCCTCCTTTGCCCTTGGTTTCCTGAGGAAAACTTCTAAAGATGAAATAGAACCCTTTGGTAGTTAAAAATAGAACCCTTTGGGAAAGGCAAACTGTAGATACCACCCAAGCCCCACACTCGTTGAAGATGAGATGCAAAAGCCCAGCATGTGTCACCCCCCAGCACTGCGGGGCCCCGCAGGGAGAGAGGTAAAATAGACAACAGAATGAACAGCATGCTCTAGCCCCGAGGTCGGCAAACCGCGGCTCGCGAGCCACA